ACATCCCTTTTCCCCTCCCTGCCTTCCTCCATCTCTCTCTCTCTCTCTCTCTCTCTCTCTCTCTCTCACGCACCAGATGTTTTGATCCTATAGATGCTGAGGTTCCCACGGGCTAAGTTATGTAGCCTTTGTACACCATCTAACTCACTCCACACTACCGAGGCTCATACAGTGTGGGTGGTGTGGGTGAGGTGGGTGGCGTGGGTGGTGTGGGCGGTGTGGGCGGAGGATAGGAAATAAAAGAAGGAAGGAAGGAAGGAAGGAAGGAAAGCAGATTTCTTTTATTTTCTTGGGTGTGATTGTGTGCTTTGGGCATTTGGGATTAGAAACAGCTGGTGAACGGAGGAGGCAACGATGACAGCTGGTTCGGCGGGACAGCTGGATGGGATTGGTCGAATTTTCCCTCCTTAAATCCTCTTCTTTGTGTGTGTGTGTGTGTGTGTGTGTGTGTGTGTGTGTGTGTGTGTGTGTGTGTGCTACCTTGGATCATTTGGGTTTTAAACTGAAAATATTTCGAAAATCAGGAATGTTGGGGAATGTTGTTGGCTTTAGAGTGGGGGGGGGTTAGTAGGAGAGGGGTGGAGTGGGATAGAGAGGGCTGACAGAGGATAGAAGAGGACTGGAAGGAGATAGAGGGGGCTTACTGAACGGGAGCTAATAGAGAACTTGCGAGGAATAGGAGAGAACTAGCAGACAAGGGGATAGTACAAAACTAGCAAACGGGGAATAGAACAAGGCTAGTAAGGTGACCGGGGAAGAGGGAGAGAGAGATAAGATAAAACTAACGAACGAACAGGTAGGTGGATAGACCGAAGCGAGAGGAGAGGAGAGAGAGAGAGAGAGAGAGAGAGAGAGATAAAAGAGAACATTTTGTCACACGCCAGAGACCACCACGAGTTGCCACCTTCCCTGTGTGTTAACAAGAGAGGCGTGAGGGGAGGGGGTGAGCCTTGGTGGACCTCTTAATGTTTTTTATCGTGATCTAGCGTCTTGAGAATCCTGATACCAACGTCTGCCAGCCTATACCAGAGTGATTATACCGAGGTGTTGTGGTGGTGATGGTATTATTGGTGGTGTTGGTGATGGTGTTATTGGTGGTGTTGGTGATGGTGTTATTATTGGTGGTGATGGTGTTATTGGTGGTGTTGGTGATGGTGTTATTAATGGTGGTGTTGGTGATGGTGTTATTAATGGTGGTGATGGTGTTATTAATGGTGGTGTTTTTCTCTCCAACAGTGACCTGAGCAACAATGAAATCACGACCATTGCCGGAGACGCTTTCCAGGGGCTCAAGTCTCTTGCCTCTCTGTGAGTATCTCTCTCTCTCTCTCTCTCTCTCTCTCTCTCTCTCTCTCTCTCTCTCTCTCTCTCTCTCTCTCTCTCTCTCTCTCTCTCTCTCTCTCTCTCTCTCTCCCTCTCTCTCTCTCTCTCTCTCAAATTTTCAGTTAATTTTTTTCACTCCATATCTCTATCTTTCTTTAACTTTCCCTCTCATTCTTTATGTATTTCCTTTCCTTCCTTCCTTCCTTCCTTCCCTCCTTCCTCCCTTCCTTCCTTCCTTGCTTCCTTGCTTCCTTCCTTCCTTCTCTCTCATTAAGCACGAAGAGTTATGAAATACAGTGTTCATTTAGTTGTTGTTTTGGTTTTGTTAGTAATAATGAGTCAATACCATCACACTGTTATCTACACTATGTAAAATAATCTTGTTGGTATCATTGTTTTCACTACCACCACTACTACCACTACTACCACTACTACCACCACCACCACCATCATTCCTCATCACCACTACTACCACCACTCCTCCTCACTCTCAATATCAGTCACCATCACCACAACTAATTACCTCACCTGTCCTCATTAACTCACCTGTGTTGCAGAGTGCTGTATGGTAACAAGATCACCGAGTTGGCTGCCGGCGTGTTTGGCGGCCTTACCTCCCTCCAGCTGCTGTAAGTACTGTGTGTGTGTGTACCTGTATGTATGTATGTGTGTATGTATGTATGTATGTATGTATGTATGTACCTGTATGTATGTGTGTGTGTGTGTATGTATGTGTGTGTGTATTATTCTTGTACTCAAACCACTGTTATTATTAATATTTTACAGGTATTCATACATTATATACCTGTAGTGTTTCATGGTTCACCAGGTGTTCTCTCTTAATTACCTGTTGTTAATTACCTACACAGGGAACCTTATGATTATTATGTTTAAATCCGTTGTAAAAGAAACCCAGAAGTGATTAATCCTTCCCCCTCCCCTCCCCCCCTTCCCTCCTCACTCCCCCTCCTTACACCTTTCCCCCTTATCTCTCTCCCTCCTTCAAGACAGTGGGTTGAGGTCTTGGACAGTCAGTGGAGGGTCAGATGTGATGTTTTTCTGTGTGTTTTATGGTGGGGAGATTGTGGCACCCCCTCTTCCTTCCTCCTCTTCCGCCCCCCATTCCCTACACCCGTTCCTCCCCTGCCACCGTCCTGTTGGTCACGATAATGCTTTGACACAGTGTACATCTCTGCTAATATACACACACACACACACACACACCTTCAACCTTAATGTAGGTGTCCCTCCACTCCCCTCCCCCACCCCTCTACCCCTCCTCTCCCCCCCTCCCCTCCCCTCCCCCCACCCCCTCCCCCCTGTCTCCACCTCACCACCACCTGCTTAGCTCACCTGTATGTTTGTTTTCCTCCAATGTGACCATTACTATGCAGCCTCATTATGGTGAGACTAATAAACCTGCCTCACCTGGACACCTCACTAACTTCACTAATTTACTAAGACACGCAACTAACATAACTTATTTACCTGGTCAACAACACGAAGACAACCATCAATAGTTATCTTCACTACCCACCTAACTAGCATACATTATATACTAGAACCCTGACCTAACCTAACTAGCATTCATTATATACTAGAACCCTGACCTAACCTAACTAGCATACATTATATACTAGAACCCTGACCTAACTAGCATACATTATATACTAGAACCCTGACCTAACCTAACTAGCATTCATTATATACTAGAACCCTGACCTAACCTAACTAGCATTCATTATATAGAAGAACCCTAACCTAACTAGCATACATTATATACTAGAACCCTAACCTAACTAGCATACATTATATACTAGAACCCTGACCTAACCTAACTAGCATACATTATATACTAGAACCCTAACCTAACTAGCATACGTTATATACTAGAACCCTGACCTAACTAGCATACATTATATACTAGAACCCTGACCTAACTAGCATTCATTATATAGAAGAACCCTAACCTAACTAGCATACATCATTATATAGAAGAACCCTAACCTAACTAGCATACATTATATATTAGAACCCTAACCTAACTAATATACGTTATATAGAAAACCCAACCTAACCTAACTAGCATACATTATAGAAGAACCCAACCTAACTAGCATACATTATATATTAGAACCCTAACCTAACTAACATACATTATATAGAAAAACCCTAACCTAACCTAACTAGCATACATTATATAGAAGAAACCCTAACTTAACTAGCATACATTATATATTAGAACCCTAACCATCCAACATATTATATAGAAAACCCTAACCTAACCTAACTAGCATACATTATATAGAAGAACCCTAACCTAACTAGCATACATTATTATTAGAACCCTAACCTAACTAACATACATTATATAGAAAACCCTAACCTAACCTAACTAGCATACATTATATAGAAGAACCCTAACCTAACTAGCATACATTATATATTAGAACCCCAACCTAACTAACATACATTATATAGAAAACCCTAACCTAACCTAACTAGCATACATTATATAGAAGAACCTAACCTAACTAGCATACATTATATATTAGAACCCTAACCTAACTAACATACGTTATATAGAAAACCCTAACCTAACCTAACTAGCATTCATTATATAGAAGAACCTAACCTAACAGTACATCATTATATATTAGAACCTAACCTAACTAACATACGTTATATAGAAACCCTAACCTAACCTAACTAGCATTCATTATATAGAAGAACCCTAACCTAACTAGCATACATTATATATTAGAACCCTAACCTAACTAACATACATTATATAGAAAACCCTAACCTAACCTAACTAGCATACATTATATAGAAGAACCCTAACCTAACTAGCATACATTATATATTAGAACCCTAACCTAACATACGTTATATAGAAAAACCTAACCTAACCTAACTAGCATTCATTATATAGAAGAACCCTAACCTAACTAGCATACATTATATATTAGAACCCTAACCTAACTAACATACATTATATAGAAAAACCTAACCTAACCTAACTAGCATACATTATATAGAAGAACCCTAACCTAACCTAACTAGCATACATTATATATTAGAACCCTGACCTAACTAGCATTCATTATATTAGAACCCTGACCTAACTAGCATTCATTATATATTAGAACCCTGACCTAACTAGCATACATTATATATGAACCCTGACCTAACTAGCATTCATTATATATTAGAACCCTGACCTAACTAGCATACATTATATACTAGAACCCTAACCAACTAGCATTCATTATATACTAGAACCCTGACCTAACTAGCATACGTTATATAGAAAAACCTAACCTAACTAGCATACATTATATACTAGAACCCTGACCTAACTAGCATACATTATATACTAGGAACCCTAACCTAACTAGCATTCATTATATACTAGAACCCTGACCTAACTAGCATACGTTATATAGAAAACCCTAACCTAACTAGCATACATTATATACTAGAACCCTGACCTAACTAGCATACATTATATACTAGAACCCCTAACCTAACTAGCATTCATTATATACTAGAACCCTGACCTAACTAGCACATGTTATATAGAAAACCCTAACCTAACTAGCATACATTATATACTAGAACCCTGACCTAACTAGCATACATTATATATAGAACCCTAACCTAACTAGCATACATTATATACTAGAACCCAACCTAACTAGCATCATTATATACTAGAACCCGACCTAACTAGCATACGTTATATACCAGAACCTGACCTAACCTAACTAGCATCGTTATATAGAAAACCCTAACCTAACTAGCATACATTATATACTAGAACCCTGACCTAACTAGCATACATTATATACTAGAACCCTAACCTAACTAGCATTCATTATATACTAGAACCCTGACCTAACTAGCATACGTTATATAGAAAAACCCTAACCTAACTAGCATACATTATATACTAGAACCCTGACCCAACTAGCATACATTATATATTAGAACCCCAACCTAACTAGCATTCATTATATACTAGAACCCTGACCTAACTAGTACGTTATATACTAGAACCCTGACCTAACTAGCATACGTTATATATAAGAACCCAACCTAACTAGCATTCATTTATATATAGAACCCTAACCTAACTAGCATTCATTATATATTAGAACCCTGACCTAACTAGCATTCATTATATATTAGAACCCTAACCTAACTAGCATACGTTATATACTAGAACCCTAACCTAACTAGCATACGTTATATACTAGAACCCTAACCTAACTAGCACATACATTATATACTAGAACCCCAACCTAACTAGCATTCATTATATATTAGAACCCTAACCTAACTAGCATACATTATATAGAAGAACCCTAACCTAACCTAACCTAACCTAGAGAACTATGATGTGTCGTACGGCCTATGGGTTAAGGTGCCCCTCGGCCTACCTATAGATATGTTAATTACTTTATCCATAAATATATCAACGTTTTATAGCCTGCATGGTTGGGGTCCTGGGGTCCTGTCAGTCTTGTCCTGGGTTGTCTTGGGTCCTGGGGTCCTGGGATGGGGTCCTGGGTCTGGGTCCTTGGTGGGGGTCCTGGGTTGGGGCCTGGGTCCTGGGGTCCTGGTTCCTGTGAGTTCTGCATGTGAGCTGGCTGGGTTAACTGTCTTCGTGATATCTCTACTGGACCAGACACTAAATTAAATTATCAGTCCTCAAATCTTAGATGGGACCCAGAGTTTGACTGCTACTGTTACTGCTACTGGCACTATTGTTGATGTTACTACTGGGACTATTGTTGATGTTACTGCTACTGGGACTATTGTTGAGTTACTGCTACTGACTATTGTTGATGTTACTGCTACTGACTATTGTTGATGTTACTGCTACTGGGACTATTGTTGATGTTACTGTTACTGGGACTATTGTTGATGTTACTGCTACTGGGACTATTGTTGATGTTACTGTTACTGGGACTATTGTTGATGTTACTGCTACTGGGACTATTGTTGATGTTACTGCTACTGGGACTATTGTTGATGTTACTGTTACTGGGACTATTGTTGATGTTACTGCTACTGGGAAGATGATATAAACTTTTGAGGTTAGGGTTAGGGTTTGGTTAGGTTATGTTAGGGGTTAGGGTTAGGTTTGGTTAGGTTTGGTTAGGTTAGTTTAGGTTATGTTATGTTAGGTTTGGTTAGGTTATGTTATGTTAGGTTAGGTTTGGTTAGGTTAGGTTTAGCGCCCTTATAAAAATCATAAACAAGGGAGAGATGAAGACGCTGATAATGCTTTGACTTTTATGCCCGCGATATATATCTTCCCTATAGCTTTACCACAGCCCACTGGCCCACCTCTAGCCCACCCCTAACCCACCCCTAACCCTCCTCTAGCCCACCCCTAACCCGCCCCGTGGCTCACTTTATCCCACCACCTCCATCATGCTGCCTAGGCTAACTCAGATCCACACTTGGCCCACCCAAACCAAAACCCACTATCACCACGCTGTTTGGCCCACTCCTAGCCCACCCCTAGCCCCACCACCACCACTATGGCTCAATCTGGCCATACTACCACCAATATGGCCCGACCTGGCCACGGTGGACGACAGAAGAGGGGGAGGAG